AAATAGTCTGATTTTTGATATAGATTCATTTTTTCAATACATTCTTCACTGCATGGTTCTGGTTCATTCGACCTTTTGTATCTTTCTACTGCTATTTGTAATAGTGAATTGAATTCTTTTTGATGTTGTGGTTGGATTTCTTTGTTTTTCGTAAATAATCAAAAGAAAGCTGAGTCCAAGTATTTTAATTTTGTTTTAATTGTGTTTGGTAAATTATATTGAGTTGGATTCGCTTAGATTTTGTGTTAGAAAAATTTCAAAAGTAGCTCAGATGATGAAAAGGCATTAATAATTATATCATAGTCCCAGACTGTTGTATCGAAATTTAGTGTACGTGCTTTTGCTATTGCAATAGTGACAGAGTTACACCAAGTAAGTGAGTGATCATCTTTAGTATATTTCTTTTTTGGAAGATTGGAGGTAAGTGCACTACTGTACGTCTTCTTGGGAGGTGTGGGAGATTCTGTAGTTACATTAGATTGAGTATCTATATGGTTGTCTATGTCTTCTTTTAATTGGGTTTGTTATATAGAGTTGTTAGTGATTGGTACTTTTTGGACCGAGCTCCAGGGGTTGTCTTAAATGAGGTTCTGGAATGGATCGGGTGTGTTGTGATAATCGGTTACCATATTTGTAACCTGGGATCCTAAGGTATTTGTGTTGTTTCCCGTGCTTGTTTGTTTGTTTAGATTATTTCCCATGCTATTTTGTTTGTTTTGATTGTTTCCCACACTTGTTAGTTTGTTTTGATCAGATGATATCATCGATATTTTTGACAGGGGTTTGCTAAATTTCCCACTTTGAGTTGAATTTTTTTGTGCGATATGTGGTGGGGTGGTGGTAGTATTATAGATGGTATCTTTTCTGTCTTTGGTTTTAGACATTGTCTTTTCTTTTTTAGTAGTGGTGGGTTGTCTGGTATAGTAAGATTTTGTTCCCTATGTTGGTTATCTGAGGTTTCAGCGGGATCTATCAGAGTGGGATTAGGGGATGTTATCGGAACCAAGAAAGGTTCTAAGGCTTCATCGGTAGAAAGTAGTGTGTTTCTGTCTCTCTTCAGCTTTGTGTGAGTATTGTTAGGGTCTGTTAAGTAATATTTAAAGTATTTAGGGGCCAAAAATATATGAAATATTTGTATTCTTCTATTCAAAAATATTTTTTCTCTTAATTTTTTGTTGTTTTGATGATCTATGGGAAAGAGTTTTAATACAAGCTTTGGTTTTTTTTTATTTATAAAAATATAAATTTTTAACAAAAACTTAAAAAACTTTTTAAAAAACTGGAGATTTACTATAATACTGTTTTGCAAATTACTAAACAACAACAAAATAGCAAAACAAAACAAACAAATATAGACAATATAATTTATATAAACAAATAAACAAATATAAATAAACTTTGCTCATAAGTGAATTGCAGATTATGTAGCTTAGCCTAGTTTTATTAGATTTGTATCCAACTGTGGCATAATTATATGTTATTATATATATTTTTTTATATATATAGGACTAACCAATACTAATAAAACCTTAAACTGTTTTATTTTGGTTTGTGATTTGCAACTTTAGAAAATCCAAAGTTTTTTACATTTTTTAAAATTTATTAATGAGCTAAGAAGATATAAACTTATCTTAGCATGAACAACAAGTCTTAGAAGATGAACATGATTTCACTAATGAGACCAATATTTCTTTTATCCCTACAGAAAAAATAGACAAACTTTTCACAAAAATTTATAAAGAAAACAAATTATCAAATAAAACATACTAATGTTTGTTATAAAATTTCTCACAAAATGCTTTTATCAAATTCTCACTACTATTTATAGACAAGGAATTGGCTAAACGAATGTGTAAAAAAGCAAAGAAGGTGGACAAAACTCCACAACATGTGTCTTATTGCACCTCTTCAGTTCTTAGACCTCTTGACAATACAATTTGTATAATATATCGAACAAAACTAGACCTACAAAATATACAAGCTCTAGAAACTTAAAAATATATAGAGTTGTTATTACTCACAACAAGAATATTACTTTAGAACTTCCTATCATATATTAGTAAACAATATGAAGAACATGCTATTAATTGCTTATATCTTACTTATTAGACAAAATCAGAAGTGGAACTCCTTTTCGCTGAGAGGTTGAAAGATATTATTAGAAACAAAACCAAAAAAGCAAAATTTTTTAATGATGCCTTATAGCAGAACAAACATGTATAGTCTTTTTAAAAAGGATATATGAGTAAGTTATCTCAACAAAACTGGTACAAGAGAAGAAATTTTTAATGCAATCCATTAACTTCATGGCTACAAAATATATCATGTTAAAAACAAAATCAAAATTTTTTTTAGAATAATTCCCAGTTACAAACTTGTCAATAATAAGCAATGTAGGTGAAAGATTATCCTACTTTTATTTAAGATAGACCAAAACAATTAGAAAATCTTGAGTAACAAATATTATAAAGAATAGTTATATATCTATTTGGCAAAATTTACCACCTTTACAGTAACAGGCACTCTTATATCAAAATCTATCACCTTAGAAAAGTTTATTATTAGAAAAAGAAATCAGAAATCTTATTGACCAAAAGATTATAATAGAATTTTTTATCAATATGCTATGCTTTATATCAAATTTGGTTTTAATTCCCAAAAAAACTGAAGATTTTTGATTAGTAATGACCTTTGATATTTAAATTCCTTTGTTCTGCATCAAAAATTTAAAATGAAAAGTATTCAATTAGTCAAATCATTACTAAAACTAGGAGACCATGTCCAAAATCAATTTAAAAAATGTATTTTACTACGTCTCTTTATCTCTAAAAGTAAAGACCTTTTTTATATTCAACTTTCAAATTATATAATATGCATTTACGGCTTTGTTGTTTGGCTTAACAACAAACCCCAGAATCTTCACCAAGATTATAAAACCAATAATGAAAACTTTCAGAGCACAGGGAATAAAATTAATCATCTACTTAGATGATATACTAATTTTAGCAGAGTCAAAAAGACTAGCACTTGAACATACTCACAAGGTTTGTGGGATATTAAAATACCTTGGATTCATAATAAATGAAAAGAAATAACAGATATTACCAGTAACAACAATTGAATTTCTTGGCTTTAAAATAAACTCACAGAAAATAATACTCAAGATCCTAAGAAAGAAAACAATAGGGATTATTTGAGAATATACAAAGATAAAGTCAATGAGTACTATATATGTATAAAAATAGGCATTATTACTAGGGAAACTAAATGCTATAGCAAAAGCTCTTTACCTAGTAAAACTCTTTTCAAGAGTATTATTACTCAGAGACAAAAATTGAGCCCTAAAATTCAAAGAATAGAATACAATAATAAAATTATCAAAAGAGAGCTATCTACAACTGAATTAGTAAATATATAGCCTGAAAAGATAGAATAGAAAACAAGTCAATATTAAAAAACCTACTACAACAATTTATACAAATACCTCAAAATTGGGATAAGATATAGTTTTAAACAGAGAAGTGATATCAGGAATATAAAAAGGTCGAATGAACCAGAACCATGCAGTGAAGAATGTATTGAAAAAATGAATCTATATCAAAAATCAGACTATTT